ACAGACAGACAGACAGACAGACAGACAGACGTGACCGAAAACATTACCTCCTTGGCGGAGGTAATAATCATGCATTCAGTTTGTAGGATATTTTACATACAAATCTCAAAGTGCTACATTTCAAGGATCATAAACAAAGCTAGTTCACAACAGAATCATAAAAACAACAAAACCAGAAAGTTTTAAATCCTTTTTAAAGCTGCTACAGTCTGTGGTGCTCTTAGATCATGGGTCAAACTGAAGGTCTGGCAGCAGGTGAAACTCACATTGTAAAATCTCCATTTGAATTGTCCCCGGCTACTTTTGTGGCAGCCCAGTTGTACTGTGATGTTGGAATTTCCCACTTAAATTTGTAAATTTAATACTGGAATGTCCCTCCAGTGGGAATTTACTGTAGAAAAGTGGGAGAGTTCAGAATTTAAAACGGCAGCAAGGTTGAGGAATACAAGATTTACAAAAAGACCAGCGTCATTTCCAAAAGAAAACCATTAGAAAGCCTACCCAGAGCTGTTTGAGTGTTGTGTAAGTGTTTAAAACCASACTGGAAATTTACTAAACTTATATTTACACCTAAGAAGTCWTTTGGGACTACAGATGAAAATTAGCCTTAGGCTAAACCTGGTGCAATGCATCAAATTATGTTTTAATTCCACATTGTCCCAAATAAATAAACCATTCATTCATTCATTCATTCATTCATTCATTCATTCATTCATTCATTCATTCATTCATTCATTCATTCATTCATTTAAGTGAATACAAAATTATTTTCTCCAAGATTTTAGAAAGAAAAGGCTGTTTTGGGATTGGTCTAAACCTGAAGCAAACTGATGAGTGAAGACCAGTGTTTTATTGATGGATTGATTACTGCATCCTTTAAACACTGGAGACTTCACTTGTGGCGTTGCTGCTATTTATAACAGCAAGAACAGAAGATTCAACAGAAGATAAAAGTTATTTTAAAATGAAACAGGGTTAGCAGGGGGACCTGAGGGTTTCATAAAACCAACAACATCCTGGAACAATGTCAGASAGAGAGGCTCAAAGTGATGAAAAGAGCTGAGCAAGGGTTTGACATATTTACCCAGGCTGCTCTCCATCGAGCTGAGCACAGAGGAGGTGTTACTGAAGGTGCTGGATGTGGAGTCGATCCTCTGCACACAAAACAAACAGGAAGTACATGAAACTCAAATTTCTGTTATTTTATACAAATGCTGAGTCAAGATTCATTAGTTTTTGTTAGTTTCTTCTTCACAGATTGGTCTACTTCTGCTTACTTTGTGCTATTTTAGCTGTTTACCTATCAAAGCACTCAGCTCGATCAAGAATATTAGGCCACAACGTTAAAGATTTATAACGTTTATATTTTTGAGTATATATCAGTTTATTCACATAATTCCTCATAGAACATGAAAATATTTTCAATTCTTTTAAAACATTGTTCTTCACACATTGGCTCTGTCTTTGTCTTCTTAAGCTACTTTTGGTTTTTAGCTATGGTTTGCTAATTTTACCAACAGTTTTGCTCATATATTTGCTTTTACCTGCAGGGTTTCTAATGCTTATCTATTTAGCTGACTTTAGCTTTTAGCTATGGTTTTGTAAACTTTTTTTTTTTGTAAACTTTTAAATTTTGCAAAGGTTTGCTGGATTTTGGCTTGTTTTAACAATTCATTTTCAGCTCCTTCAACAAAATTCAGCGTGGTTATTTAGCATTCAGTTGTACTGTCAGGAAATGCAGTATGAATGTTATTAATCTAGTTTGATAAATGAATCCACAGTCATTAGCATTTTAGACCATTAATTCAAATTTGTCCTCAAAGGAAAYTAAAAAATCTAAAGGCTGAATAGACTAAATAATGAAAATGATAATAATTAAGGTCAACTGGTCCTTACTGTCCTACCAACTCAACTAATCAAAGCAGTCATCAAATTAAATAACTTGTGTCATGGTTTGATGATAAAATGACTTTTGAACTTTGTACCTTTATTTAAAAGATCAGATTATGAGGTTTGTTTGCAATGCTTTACTGATCTGCTGAGGACAGCGGAAACTACTAAACTATATTTAGTCTAGGCCAACGCCAAAAACTAAAATACACAGTGTGAATAGAGATAAGATAAACAGACTGACCTGCATGTGGCACTGAGGGCTGCTAGAGAGATCAAACATGGAGCTGCTTAGTCGCTGCTGAGTCCAACCTGCATGCCAACCACATTAAAGGTTTACTGATTTAATGTAGAGATTCATGGGGGCAGTTTACGTCAGTCTGCAGGAAAATGCAGCATGATGGGTAGAAATACACATGAACATAAATGTCATTAATTCTGAGAGTGAGCACAAACACATAAAATCATCCTAATAATAAAAAACTGTATTTTTTAAAGTTTAAATGCAAAAGTATAAATCTGATTTCTAAATAARATCAGGGGTCAAGAACAACAAGAAACATAAAATACCTTTTATCTAATTTATTCATAACTTCTGATCAAAACCAATGGTTCTGAGGCCTGTTGCACCAAAGTAGGATTTATGTACAAAACCTTAACTAAAAAATGTGTTTTACTGCATTTAATGAGAAAGCAGACTCACAAAATGTGGTGCTGGTAAAATAAATGCTTATTTGCTTCAGGTTGATGTGTCTTCCTGTAACACCTTCTTTCTTTGACTTAGTGTGGCTTTTGATTACGACACTGACCAAAGCTGCAATCTGCTTTGAGGCAAACAATTTATTTTACAAAGCAGAAAAAAAACCAGGCTCAGACAGATTGTGACATCGTCACTTGATAACACCATCTTGGAAAATCAAGGACTGCTTTTCATGTTTAGGTAGCCACGCCCACTGGACTTTCTGGTGCACCATTAGCAGTTTGTTTGTCTTCTGTATTTTGGATTTCCCTCAGTGTTTCTATCATCTTGCTTTCTGATTGGTTACATGTCAAATTCAACTGGCTGCAAGCTTATTTGTTCTCAAGGAAGATCACACATGCTGGAGCATTGGGTCAAAACAATCCAACATGTTGATTATCCCCAATTTGAGATGGGAGCAGTCCTGGCATCCTTCCAAGTTGACTAGATCACTCTGAAGATACCACATATGGCTGGGATATCTCCTAAGATTATCTTTCATTTGGTCATTGCACTTATCCATTATAGTGTCCCTTGGGGTCCCCCAGAGAATGAAATCTAGTGGAGCCAGGTCCAGTAAGACTTTTCATTTACATGTCTTCTCCAGTTAAGCTTCCTTAAGACACCCAAGACTTTTACCAACTTGACTCTGACATGGAGAGTTCCAAACCGTCTAACTTTGGAGGTGAGTAACATTTCCTTGACTTCTTTTGAGTGAAAAGAACAAATTCTGTCTTGTTTGGACTGACAGAAAGTTCCTGCTCCTGGAACCATCTGGATACTGTTTAGTCCYGTCTGCATTAGGTTCCATACAGTACCCAAGCAGCCTCCTAGTATGACCAAGTCATCTGCATACACTTGTGTTTGGAATCTAGATATATTTGACTCACTAAGTAAGCTGTCAACAACCAGAAGCCAACAAAGGGGCAAGATAACTCCTGCCTACCCGGTCTAAGGTTAAAGGTTATCGAACAGTCCCTCAGAGTTGAAGATGCTTTCCTTGTCTGAAGCATGAAAACAAGTCAATTTGTCATTATGTTAAAAAATAATAAAAAATACTTTGATAAAAAAAAACAAGTCATTTTGTAGTTGTTTCATCCACGCCTTTGCAAGTGCTCTTTCTAGAGCATCTATAGGTATATTGTCAAATTTTAAATTAACCAAAACTGTCCTTTGGTGTATTAAAAATTCAGTTTGACTACTTTCACTTTTAGTTCACATATTGATCAGATGCTGCTGACTGATCCATGATGTGATGTAAATATAACATTTTCTACATTTAGGTCAAATTAATCACTGCAATAAAATAACTTTGTGTGTTTTTGTCACTTTTACAGTGGATTGCATCAACTCTGTTACATCCAGAAGGGAAACGTCACCAAAGTGAAACATAAATCTGTGGATCTGTGTTTGATTACTCTGCCTGGCTTTCTCAAGGACCAGGATGTGACACAAACATCTGAGTTATGGAACTGAAAGTGAAAGTAGTCAAACTGAATTTTTAATAAAMCAAAATACAGTTTCAAAGTAAATTAATTAAAATTCAATACTTTAAATTCAGTTTCAAATCATTAAACTCAGTTTCAATTTAGTGAAATTCATTTTCAAACCAATGCATTCAATTTCAAATTATGCAAATTCAGATTCAATCTGAGCAATTCARATTCAATTCCTGCTGACACAAGGTTTATCCCACAGAACACGGCAATCTTTTCAAGGGGACATTACACTTCTGGCATTTTTGCATTGTAAGGCCTAGCCCAGCCACAGTTARCCTGGTCTTATTCTACCCCACACCAGGTTGGGTTTGATTCAAGCAGAGAGCTGCCTTGATGTGGGTGGGATCATAATATTAAAAACATGCAAATGTTATTTCATTTTATTTGTGACACACAACAATACTGGACTGTAATGTCTCTGAGTACAACGAGGAAGCTCAACACAAGACAAAATCCAAAGTAGATAGCTTTCACACTCCTTTATTATTGTTGCACAATGTCACGAGAACTACTGCCATGGTACAGCAAGTACTGAGGGACAAAAGGGGTTGGGCCACAAGCGCTCGACACAAACGCAATTCAAAATACATTACAGGACTACACAAAACCTGAAGGAAAAGTACCAAAGATTGATTGAACCATACAGCAGTATGAAGCTTAAGACAAGAGGCAAGACAACAGAGGACTTTAAGCTAATGGTAGCTAATGTTAGCAACAGTAGCTGCGTCAGATCAGGCAGGGTAGGCCAGCCCAAATAGAACCACCACAGTTWAAGAAAACAGGGTGGAGCTGGGCCATAGGGTTAACGCAAACAAGCTAAACCCAGGTTTTAACCCAGGCCGGGCCTTGCTGTACAAAAATGCCATTTGTATTAACTTTTTCTGAATTAGGATTTTACATTCTTGAAAACAATTCAGGTCAATCTGAAATATGCTTCTACACCAAAATGTCTTTTAGTACCTACCTATGCAATTTCTTTTGATTTCCAATCTCAGAATCATAAACAAAATTGTGTCCTATGAGAACAAAGAGGTGTGTGGTACCTGCGCCTTGAGAACTGGAGTTTCTGTGCTTTAGCATGTTTCTGTGGATCAAGCCGGGGGAGATGTACGCTGATATGTGACCTTGATGAAAACTGGACTCAGGGTTGTAGGCGAAGTAAGAAGTCCCCAGCAGCTCTGCCTTCCTCTCTGCATATGTGGACCTGGCTGAATCTAAAGACATGATAGAATAAATTTTATAGATTATCATTATGCTGCCAGAGTTGAATACACACACGCATAAACTACAAAACTACAGAAGACATTTTAAAGGTTGTCAATGCAGAGCTGATCAAGATTTTTTCAGTATAACTTTATTAATATGGCATCTAAGCTAACAGACAAGATCAAGCACAATATCAGTGACATAAAAAGATTAATATCAGTATAAATGTAGAAAATGTAATGTTATGCATATAACTACTGTTATGTACACTTAAAGTAATGTGCAAGGTACAACACATAAGTATGTCTCATAAGTATGGGACACCACGCGCCCTGCAGGTCCTGGCTGAAGACACCTCTGATCACGCCTTTAGGCAGATGACGTGATGTCGATAGGTGACAGGCCCTGCCTGCACTATATACAACTGTCCATCATCACAGTCATTCCTCAGTTCAACAGTCGCTCCTCACCAAGTCCAGCTGTGTAGCAGGGTAGAGATGTTGTACCTCATTCCTCTCCTTCAGGGAACAGTAGATACATGCATAACATTACAGTCCTTTTCAGTCATTTCACTCGGTACAACACATAAGTATGGAATTTTTATAAACATCCCACAGAGCAGCATCAAACCTGGGTCACATTAGTACGCTAATTAGGGTTAGGTAATGWAACTCGGTTCCAGAATGACACTGGGGCAAATATCAATGGTAGTACACAGACCGAAACACAACTCTAACTTCGGTGCCTYAAAGAAAGCTGTTAATTTCCTCTGGTGTTCACTGTTAACACTGACAGCCTCTGCACACAATCTCCACAGACGCTCTTGTATGCGGTTCGACTCGGCTCGGTCTCGGCCCAATGAGCCTCTCCAAGCACGCTCCACAGCCGCGCTGTTTCAGAACCTCCTCTCCAGTGKTTCTAAGTGGGTTGAAGCGTGTACAGCACGCTCATGATTTTAACATCAGCAGAATACTGCCCGTGGATTAACTCTTGGATTGACTGACAGCACATTTCCTCCTGGAGAGAGCTGCTTTTATTTAGGAATACAAGTGCCCGGCGCAATACGACGACATGGTGAAAGCAGTGATAAAACTGTCTTTTTGATGATCAGAAAGGCAGAACTTGTAAAAACTTCCTGGAGAGAGTGAAGGAGAAGCTGAGCAGATCCCAGGAGGTTTCCAACAAACTTATCGCCCACAAAACACAAGCACTTAGCTAAACAGCACCATGATAATAAAT